AACAACAAACAAGAAAGTTTATTCATATAGAATTCGATCAAGCTTCTGACATTTCTCCTGAGTGTGTACAATCTAGATTCTTAATTTAGATATATTTCATTTCTTTTAACAAAACCAAAAAAAATGTATCGATGTTCGCATAATATATTCGTAAATGTGCGAACATCGACACATTTTTTTTTGGTTTTGTTAAGAGAAATACCGCTTCAATATACGTGAAAGTATGGATTAGTGCGGCGAGTAAAAGTGACTCGACTCGCTAGAACCGTCTTTCCCGTTAAATGAATCGTCGTGTGTTGAGATGATCAGTAAAAGCTATGTTAATAAGACCTAGTGATCTGTTATGCAAATGAGATAATAGATGCGCGCAGTGGGAGAATCAATGTCATTCTATGTTTTCGTGGACCGATCAGCGATGGATGAACAGTCGGTTTACACATTTGGTTATGTTAAGACTTGTTTATAGTGTTAATAATTGTTTCAAACGTCCGATAAAATTCTCTATTCATTATAAGTCGATTTTGATACTTTAAATTAGACGGTTTTTAAATTGAGCCGCACATATTTGAAAAAATAATTTTCTTGATAAATGTTTCAGCAATAAAGCAAAATACGGCAACAAAGGCGGAATTAAATTCAATTTAAATTTTAGTTCAAAAGTTATAAAATTTGTTAGTGCTCAAATATTTCAACGTTCGTATATTTATGTGCGCAAAAAAGTCTCAAGAATAAAAGATTTTGTCATTTTCTACAAAAAAAAAAAACCTTACGTTCGATACACTTTTTGAGCAATTGAATGGAAAATATCTCTTTGGCTCAGTTGGAATAGAAATTAATTTTAAAGATTACTAATATAATACATTTGATATACGATGATGAAGTTGGTTTTTGTATTCGCTCTTTATTTGGCAACTACTTTCGCCGCAGTGATTCCAGGTAACGTAACATATTATCAGCGTCATATGCTTTCTAGTAAACAGCTGTGACTTTCTATTCTTATTTCAGACTCTGCGAGTAGAGATTCGTAAGTGATGCTAAAGTTTCGAATGTGTAACAAAATTGATTTTTTTTCGAGAAACGATGGGTCAAAATGTTTCGTGATTTTTGACGAATTCAATCAATATTGAAAAGATTAACATTTAGAAGAGAATATATAACTTTTGAGAATTTTAAACGATAATATTTCTTCAGGAAGAAAAACTTTTTTTGGTGAATCAAAATTGAACGATTTTTTTTTAACTTCAAATTTTTTTTCCTTTTTTTGGTTTCATCCTAATAAACTAAATTTTTGTGTTCATAATGGTTATTATAGAGCTACTAGTAAATTAGCTCAGCTATTCCGATTCATCGAGACAGGTGAGTTTACAAATCTTCTAATATGCTTTCGGCTTACGCATAAGCATATGATTAATTCGTTCGAATTTGTTCTAGATCAACTCTCTGAAATCACCCGACTAATCGAAGAAGGTGTCGATTTAAGTGAAAGATACGAAGATGGAGATATGGCAATTCATTGGGCCGCACGTTTGGGTAAATGTTGATTGTTGTCTAAATTACAATTTACAATCTGGAATTAAAGTATTGCTTTTCGGTAAATATTTTCTAACAAATTACTTATTAACTTGTGTCATTATTTAATCATAATAAAAATCATCATAATTTATGATTCATAAAAGATAAATGTCTAGATAAATGTATTAACTAACCAATTTGTACTGATCGTTCAGGTAAAGCGGATACAGTAAAACTGTTGATAGAAAACGGAGCCAATGTGAATGCACGTGGTCAATATAATAGAACACCACTATACTATGCTGTAGATAGTCCAGAAGCCAGTAAGCATTCAAAAATTTGATTGAAAATTACTATTCTTTGGAATAAAAAAATTATTCCTCCTTGACCATTCTAACCCAAACTATATTTCATTGAATTTCTTCAGCAAAACTCGAAGTTGTTAAAGTCTTACTTGAAAATGGAGCCAATGTTGATGTTAAAGATGACTATGGAAGCACACCACTGGCTAAAGCAGCTCAAATAGGTAATTTTGTTTGGATAATCGAAATCAATTGTCTGGGTCAATTTGACTCTCATAACTCTTCTTCGTGCGCGTTTGACTCATTTGATTCTTATCACGTAATTTATCTATTGTCTCTGAAAGCGTTTGAATTTACATAAAACTCATTTAATATTTTGGATTGCACCAAAACATCAAAATCTGATATATTGTTGAAAGATACATCGCTCTTCTAGAAGAATAATATAGATATTATTCTTAGATAGATCTATTGAACGACTTGAAGTGGGTTGGCTTCAGAACTTATTTTTGAAACTTGAATTTTTTTTTAACGTTATTCTATTTCTGAAATACAGGTCATAAAAAGATCGTTGAACAGCTGATAAAAAATGGCGCCAATATCAATTTGAAAGCATGGCTTGGTCGATCACCACTTGTGGAGGCTTCTGAACATGGTAATTATTTCATAGTAATGATGATGTTAAATGTTCATATTAAAACTTGAATATGCTTGAATATTCTAAATTCCAATTAACTGTAGTGAATTGGTCGGTTTTTTCAAGTTTTTTCAAAAATTAGTCTATTTTACAAGTTTTTTTTAATAGTTCAAAAGTCATTGAAACGGCGGAATATTTAAATATTGCTTGATTTTTTTTTTCAGGAAACACACGCATTTTAAAAACCCTCATTAACAAT